AGTAGTTATAGATATTATTTATATTTGTAATACGTGGTTTTAAAACAGAAGCTCATTGCTCATGAGTGCTACTAAACTCACCTCATTGTCTTATTTTCCCACCCACTTTATAATTCTATTCACTATAAGAAGTTTAAAAATTAAAATGTTATTTCTTCACCCATTGTTATTCCTAAAATATCCTCTATTTTTTTTAACAAACGATATTATCTACACTAAAGGAGAATTTATAAAGTCAAAGCCAATGTCTATGCAAGAGATTTGCAATTCAAGTAATTAAGAGCACTCATCATTGTATCTTGTCTTCCATCGAATTTCTCCTTCTTCAACATCTCCTATGAACAAAAACATAAAAACAAAACTCGTCTTCCCATAAATAAATTAATTAAGAAGAAGCTTTTCATTTATAAATAAATTAGCATTTGTCTTCCTATTAATTTCCGTTTCATCCTTCCACAAGATGATGATAGTAGCTAGTATTTACATTTGGGATTTATTTAGCTAATTATTTGTTTTGTGCAATTCATAGACTAAAATGAGTGTGTCATACCCTTGCTATTATTCAAGCACTGCTTTAATGTCAGCAATGGGGTCAATCCAGGCCGTTGGTTTTGCCCTCTGCATGGAGAGGAAGTGGAGCCAATGGATGCTAGGTTGGAACATTAGGCTTCTAACAGCGGCATACTCGGTACGTCACACCCTTCTTTTACTAGCTATTTATTGTTTTAACATTTTCTTCATCTTTATCTAGAGTACTTGAATTTATAGTCAATTATTAACTAATTTAATCTATCTATATCTATATATTAATAATTGGATCTATCTATATATGTTGGTGACTTTATGCTGTAGGGAATTATGGTCACTGGGCTATGTGCTACATTTATTGCTTTGTGCATAAGCATGAGAGGCCCTTTGTTTGTATCTGTTTTCAACCCTCTTATGTTGGTGCTCATTGCCATCGTTGGGTCTTTGGTATTAGATGAGAAGTTGCATCTTGGAAGGTATGTACGTACTCTTGACTGAAAAACTCGATTTTCGAATTCTAACATGGTCATCTTGCATTTTCTCGAATAATAACGGTTTTGTTAATTGATATAGCTCTAATTTATCATTGATTATTCTCTAAAATATGTATATTGTTGAGAATGAATTATACATTAATGGAAAGAGGGATCTTACATGATTTGGTCCCTCACCTTTAATGTGGAACTTTGTCGTCGCATTCTCACTTATATTCTTAAATACACATGTCCTTGCTTGTCTTTGATTTTAATTATTTACGTGGTATTTGTTTAACTGGAAAATTATAACAGCGTTTTGGGAGCAGCGTTGATAGTGTGTGGCTTATATGCGGTGCTGTGGGGTAAGGGCAAAGAAATAGAGAAGATGAGTAATTCAGTACCGTCGACAAGCTTTCATCATCAGGATTCTGGCTCAATTGATATTGTGATAATGCCTCTAGATAACAATAAAGGTAACAGCAACAACATTGAGAGCCGTACAAATAATAATGCTTCAAAGGCTACTAGTTCTGCAGTCAGCATGATTCATTGATTCAAGGAGACGGGAGGAATAAAAGAGGGAGTATGATTCTCTCCCCTCTTTTTTTTCCTCCTCTTCCCTCCCCTCCTATTTGAACAGTCACAGTTAAACCACGTCAACATCTTATATTAATTTTTTATAGCAAGAGAAAGACAAAATAAGAGAATGTGAGAGGAGGCGATGAAAGGAGATGGAAAGAGGAGGGGAGAGAATCATAGTCCATAAAAGAGACTTTTAAATTGAACTAGGAAAAACAAGTGATAAAGGCATTTATAATTTTGATTATCTTTGGACGACATTGTATATAAATATTCATATACATGTATGTAGTCCAACATTCTAGCGGATAGGATGTTGAGTTTCTACTCAAGTGTCCCATGTTCGAAACTCTTTCATCCCTTAAATTAATGTAATAATTTTAAATTCTCCCCACTCTCCATTGCGTATCTTCAAATTAAAAGGCATAACTTGTATATTTTCTTTTTTATAGAAAACTTTATTTTAGTACTTAGAAAAGATCATGTTTTCAATAATACCATGTATAAGATGAAAAACTAAAAATAGTCCTTTGATTCGTCCACGTCACCTTATAAATTATTTTTTTATGAATTTATTGTATTTTTAGTTTGTCTATATTACCCTTAGGGAGAATTGCTTTAGGGAATCAAACATAAAAAAAAAAAATTGAAAAGCATTAGGTTTGCAAATCATAACTAACGTATGAGGCTTAATGAGTAATAATGTAAAAATTATCGGACCTAATAAACTAAAATATAAAAATACAAACCGTACAAATTGACCCTACCTAATGAACTTAAACATTAAACATACAAACAGTAACGATCAACGTACCTAATGAACTAAAACATAAAAATATAAACTATACCAAATTGATCGTATTGAATCTATTAGACCTAATGACCTAAATGTTAGAAAATACAAACTGTATCGATTTGATCATACTTAATCGATCAGGCCTAAACTATAAAATGTACCTAATTGAAATCACAAATTGATTGTATTGAAACTATCGGATGTAAACTAGTACAAAGTACCTAATTGTTATTTACAACACATAACCAAACGTATCGAACCAACCGACTGAACCAAACAATGCAAATCCCCACAAAGGCCTTTCAACAAACACATGGTATGCATCGTAAAGTAATCAAGTCTTTGGCAAGATAATTTTTGGACCTAAATTAGTGCATTTTCCGCCCAATATCATTATGAGAGCTTTCAAAAGTATGACAATGAAACTGGTTATACAATATTCCAAAGTTGAATACGTATCAAAACAAAATAAAAAAATAGGCACATGATGTCATGCTTTTAGACAATGATGATGGATGTGACGCTGATTGTTAATAATGAATTTATGGTTACATTTTTAAAACTTTGATGGTGGAGGTTACATTGTAGACAATAAATATGGCATTCTTGTAAATAGTACTAAAATATATGATTTTGTTATAAGTGATATGTTATGGTGCATTATAATAAAGATCTATTTAGATATATAGAAAATGGTCCTTAAGATTTGCATAACTCATCACTTTGGTCCCTGAGATTTCAAATCAATAGAAGTGGTCCCTAAGAATGTCCACCATCCATCATTTTGGTCATTTCGTTAAAAACTCCGTTAAGTGTCCCAGAGCTCTTGACCAGAAGTTTGGGCAATTTTTAAAGTTTCATAACTCAATCGTTTCTTAACCAAATTCAATCCATAATATATCAAAATAAAGATATGAAAGTGTAGAATAAGATTATACCTATTTGAAAGCCCAATGGTTGCTGGAGATGGCCGAAAAATAACCTCAAAGTTGACTGGTCCAAGGGAAAACTGGAAAGCTCACCAGAAACTGGGTAAACTTTAAATGTTCATAACTTCTTCAATACTCAACGAAATCAAGTGATTCAAAAACGAAAATCATACTTCTCGACAAGATGAAGAGAATGGTACCTTTTTCGATGGCTAACTCGTCGTGGTTTGTAGGGAAAACGGCTCAAAAGTGGCTGTCTTGGTCTTGAGTTAGCCACTTTTGAGCCATTTTCGCCCTTCACGTTCGTAAATCTGTAAAATCTTCATCGTAACTCCAAATGTGATTCTGCTTGCGCCTACGCATTTGTTTCGTTGAGTATTTCTAGAATACGGTAAAACAGTAGCTCGTACGTGTCCCAAAATAATGGTCACTTGAACTAATACATTTTTGGTATTGAGAAAGACAGATATAACTATTAACCATTAATGGGGAATTTGGTACCCAGTGGGTATGGTTATGGATAATCCCCGATGGTTAATTTGCAGTTATAGATATGGTTAATTTTCATAGTTATCGGGATGCATATGACATTTTCGTCACCAAACCGAACCGTTGTCATCCATAATAACAAGATTAAGGAAACCATTGAGCACGATACCCAATATACCTGATTATGCACGTCTCCCAGATCAAACTCCAAGAGCTATCTTTATATGCGCACCAGAGACAATGTGAAAAAGAAAGAAAACCCCCAATTTCGATTTATTATCGTTTTTTTTTTTTTTTATGTCAAACAATAGATTTTGTTAGATTAGATATTAGATTAGCCACCAATAAGGTTCAAACTCACGTCATCATGTAAAAGCGCAACACCTTTCCATCACTGTGATAAAGGGTCACTTGCTTCCATTTATTATCGTTCACTAGTTTAAATTGAATCCTATAGATGGGACTTTGAGTGCAGTATACATCCTTCCAAATTTGAACAAAGGGTGTTGAAATTATTACTTGTCTGGAAAGGTTTTTTCAAACTAAATAAATACAATTTAAAGAAACCTTTTCAAATGCCTTGCAAATCATGGTTCCTCTTTTATTGGTTTTGTTCGGTGGGAGTCTCCTCTTGATTTCATTTTTCTATATTATCATCGTCATTATGTAGGGTTTCCACACTACCACTTTAGATAGGTTATCTTTTGTTGGGCTTCTTATATCTTGTATTGGTTATTGGAGATTTTGTTTTTATATATATGGTGGTTAGGTTTTATGTCTCCCTTAACATATTGTATTTTCTTTCTTTTTTAATAAAGCTACATCATTGTCACTTCCTATTATAGCAACGTTGAAGTGAAATTGGCTTTGTGATTTTACCAGAAAAAAAGAGAAAAGAAAAGAAAAAAAGAAAAACCTTTTCAAATGTTAAGATCGGAAAATGGACAAATTGAGAATTCGTCCATCACATGAACCTACGGAAGGCTTTAATATGCAACTACTAAAAACTAGAGAGTTGTTACCCAACGGTACAATACACGCGTAATCTTTGAGAAGGAGTTCACCTTGCATGGTTCTCTCAGCCGTACAAGTGGGTTCGACTGAGGCATCTGCCAGCTAATTCACACTTATAACAGAGCGTTAGCAAGCTTGTTCTCACGACTCTAATTACTGTCTTTTCGGAAACGTAGCCAGGATTTGAAACTCTGGTGGGCTAGCTGGATATCTTAGATAGAGAGATCATACGACGGGCCGCAGAAACAGATGTGTTGTAGTACTAGTGCAGTGCAAGGGTTGAAGCCAGTGATGATGATGCTGGTGGTTCAGACGGCATATGTAGGGATGAATATATTTTACAAACTAGTAGCAGAGGTTGGAACGAATTTCACCATCCTTATTGCCTACCGTAACCTGTTTTCTGCAGCCCTAATGCTTCCTCTTGCTCTTACATTTGAAAGGTTCATCAACGATCATGATCATCTCTTCCAAATTGATATATGATAACGCTGTCTTCTCTCTCTCTTTCTCTCTGTCTCTCTCTCTCTCTCTCTCATTTCTTTCTCTCTCGTTCATTTAGCTAACGATCATGCTTATTTAACTCATAAACTAACAGGAAGAGCAGACCCAAACTTACATTAGATATCCTTGTTCATGGTTTTATCTCCGGATTATTGGGGTAAGAATGCTAAAACGCATTCAAAAGTTATTGATTTCTCTTTATGTTTCTTTATGAATCAGATATCTCAATCGTTTTATTGGATTTATTTCCTAGTATGTTTTTTTTTTTTTTTTTTTTTTTTGCTCTTGTATATATAAGTACCTCCGAGATAAACAAGAATTTCTAGCATTAAGTTTTGACGTGTTTTAATTAACTAATGTATTTCAAAAACGATGCATTTTTAATCCAATTTTATAAAATCTTAGCTTTTTAGTTTTTTTTTACAAACACCCACAATCGTAACTTCTCATCTGATCATACTTGTACTAACCAAAACATTCAAAGAAAAAAATAAGGCCATGATTTTCGCACTCTCATTTTCGTCTTCTGTTGCAATTATCTACTTTTTTTTTTATTGTCCCTTGAGTTTTTTATTTTTATTTTGTTATTTTAAAGAAATGTACAAATTAACACCTTTATATATGTTGAATTATTTGCAGGGCAACATTGACACAAAACTTTTACATAGAGAGCTTAGCCTTAACATCAGCAACGTATGTTGTAGCCTGCAGCAATCTTGTTCCAGTCATCACCTTCATTATAGCACTATGTTTTAGGTACTTGTACACAGAAGTAATTAAACCGCAACTTTAGATTTTCGAATGTGGCTCAATCATGAATTATTTCTGAAAAAACTCATTTAACTTGACTAAAATGAAAATTTTGGTAAAAATTAAATCTCAGAATTGAGAGGTTAGCACTTGGGACACATACAGGTAGGGCAAAAGTTGTGGGGACACTCTTGTGTATAGGAGGGACAATGCTCTTCACCTTCTACAAAGGCAAACATATTGGCATCTGGTCAACACACGTTAATCTTTTACGTAACTATTCACATGAAAACAGTCGCGTTGCTTCATTGCACAGACACACTCGCACTCAATCGTTGGGCTCCTTCTTGGCACTTTGCAGTAGCACCTCCTTTGCATCCTGGTTGATATTTCAGGTTCAAATTTATTAATTAATTAGTATATATTATGTATATCTATATAATAGTAGCCGTGCATGCGTAAATTAATGCATGTGATTTGTTTAATTTTGTGTTTTAATAAAACTTGGTATATACAGACGAAAATGACTAAGAAATACCCTTGCCAATACTCAAGTACGGCTCTGATGTCTGTCATGGCATCAATCCAGTCTGTGGCTTTTGCCCTTTGCAAGGAGAGGGATTGGAGTCAGTGGAAGTTGGGCTGGGATATCAAACTTTTTACTGCTGTGTATTCGGTAAATATGACTAATCTCCCATTACAATATTCCTTGCTATCTTTTATTAAGTGAAAAGCCACGTTAACTTTGTCAGCTATAAGCACTTATTTCTTCGCACCATGCATGCATGCATGTACCAGTGTGTCAGGCTAGGTTGAGCTGACAACTAAATTGTATTCCACACCTGTGTTTTGTGATGTAGGGAGTCGTTACTACTGGATTGGTACTGACTCTAACCGCATGGTGTGTACGAATGCGAGGGCCACTGTTTGTGTCAATTTTCAACCCACTTGGCCTTTTGCTGATAGCCCTAGCAGCGACCTTCTTGTTAAATGAAAAGTTATATTTAGGAAGGTACGTGGCTATACCCCCAATGGCGGAAGTTTCTTCAACATGCTCACTAATCCTTGTTGAAGAGTGCATAGAACTTCTATGTCAATATATACGACACACAAGTGAGGGTTCACAAAACTCACACGCGTATATTTATATGATTATTGATTATTTTGTTATCCTTGTGCTGGTCAAATTATAAAAGGAGAATAATAAAAAACTGAACGAGAAGTTGGATTTTTAATGTCTCTATGTATGTATTTTGTTATGCACTGCAGCATATTAGGAGGGATTCTAATTGTGTGTGGATTATACATGGTGCTGTGGGGTAAAAGCAAGGAGATGAAAATGATGACTCAACAGACACAACAGCCACCGCTTGAAGATCAGTCCCATTCCATTGACATGGCAGCATCTCCAGTTAACAGTGCTGCTATTTGCGATATCGCTGCTCCATCGATCTCAACTCCTCCGATAAACAGACTCAAGGGAAACATTGAGCATGAACTAGTTACAAAATAATAATAATTAATGGGATGTTGAGACGTAGTAAGAGGATCGGAAGAATACTGATTCCAGTTGTGTACTATTTTACGTATCGATTAATAAACAACAGAAACAAAAGTGATAATATGCTATCCTTATGAATCCAACCTAGTAACTCCTTAATCGCCTTAGCTTCGTATATAAACAGGCCATATACTGCACGAGCGTACGTGCCAACACAAAACTAGAATTTTTGTTTACAACCAAAACTAGAGATTTTGGTAGAATGACAGAAATATAAGATTGATATGTGAATCAAGAAAAGCTTCATGGAATGATAAAATCGAATAGGAATATGCCCATCAAGAATTCCGAACTTTAAGCAGCTGCACACCGTCATACTTTAACAGGCCAAGTGTTTGTGGTTACGTTCTGAAGCTTCCACCTCTACTCCTCCCAGTCCTTTGACTCCGATATTGGTTTATTAATTGTTCAAGAAGATTTTCTAGTATGGTTGTTGCAAATTATTAAACTTCATCAGTTTCCATGTTAATCAAAACACATAACTTTACTTGGAGAAGTCGGCATGATGAAGTATTTGACACATTCCGACCCTGATAGACATCAAACTAGGAGGAGAGATATGGTGGCCATCACCAACTTGATAACGTAACATATCACCAAAATAATGACAAAGTCATAGGTAATAAATTAAAGAAGTGAATAAATTTGAAATGAAAATCTCGATGCTACTTGAACACGAAAAATTATCCTACACGTCACTACAACAACCTCCTTACTTGGGGACACACTCGGGGTTCAACCCCCTTATTATCACATCAATTGAGAGCATAACATTAGTGCATACAATAAAATAGGTGCAACTTGTTCATCTTCAATTATGCTTTGTTGCAGTGTGTTTATTGTATTTTACATGTATATACAATACAATTAGAGAATTTATCAAAATTCATCACTTACATTTTTTTAGTCACTAATAGACAGTGATATTGAGACCGAAAAATTAATCAGTCGATCGCTAAAAAATTTAATCGAACTGTCTCGAGAAAAAGTGGGCCGGTCGAAAATTGTGGCATGACTAATTAAGTGGCAATCGTGGGAAGGTTGATTTATAATAGTATTTATAAAATTGTTTTGGCTGATTTTTTTATTGACACCTAAACTAAAAAATTTCTTAGAATTCGTATATAAACCACAACATCCCTTTTATATATCACTTGATATATCGGTATTACCTTCTCATTGTCAGTTTTACAAGAAAAACATCACTCTTGTTGAGAGTTGTCACACATCGATGAGAAACAAGGTTTGCTATATGCTTATATTATATGATCTTGGGCTACTTCCCATATTGCCAATTGATTTTATGGTGGAACCTCAATTTTATCATGGTATCAGAGTAAGGTTGTCCACGTGTGAAAAGGCCAACGGCCACAGATGTTCCACGTCACCCAATTGTTGTCCACGTGTAGGCTTGAAAATCCACCACACGTGCGAGAGCGTGTTGAGAGTTGTCTCACATTGGTAAGGGACAATGTTTGCTATGTGCTTATATGATCTTGGGCTACTATCCATATTGTCAATTGGTTTTATGGTGGAACCTCAATTTCATCAACTCTTAGATCATCATAAATCTGGTATTTTCCCATTATATATATATATATATATATATATATATATATATATATATATATAACTATCTGCCGTTATAGTTTTTTGTTTTCTTCGTTTGCAGGAATGTTTAGTTGTTGGACTTTCAGGCATGAATACAGAATTAAACTTTAAGCCTAAAATGCTGCGTATGAAAATTCGAGGAAGGCTGCAGATATTTCCTACATCTCATGTCACGAACGAACAAAAGTGACATGAAGAAAGGAAATAAAAGTGTACACAAGATCAAAAAAGGAAATAGAGAAGTCAACTTTTCGAACCATGTACTTTGTAACCGAAATATAAAATATATAGTTTACTATTTTCTCTGAAAAAACGAAAACTATATATGTAATCTTGAAATAAATGGTGATGATTCGTTTTTTTTTTTCCTTTTTCTTTTTCTGATAAGTGATTTTCGTATTTTATCTTGATAATTAAAATAGTTTTATTGAACGAATAATTAAAATTGTTATCAACCTATCATGATGCGATCACACACGTGTAGGGTGGCTTTCCTAGTTCCTACAATTCGTGATAGTCAAAAATGGCCTACTGCCCTAGTGGCTTTTGCGTATTTCCATTGCAAGGTCATGGCAGTTTGTAACCACTGGTGACTTGTTTTAAATTAGGAAACCAACCGACCAATGACCAGAAGTCAAGAACTAGATCACCGTTCAGTCGCAGAAAGCAGAGAAGGAAGATGGTCATGTTGATGATGAAGAACGTCGACGTAGTGTTGGTTTTGTGCGTCATCTTCTCTGGTATGGAGAACGTCGTTGTAGAATCTGCTGATATTGGCTGCTATGCTGCTTGCAGCACTGGCTGTGTCCAAAGCGACAGTACTTTTTCTAGCTACTTAATTACTTTTTAATTTATAAAATTATGATTAATTAGTTTGGACTTAGACTTTCTGATTTAAATTATCTGTGTTTTAACGAGTTTAGATTGTATATTAGCAAATTGTGGCATTTAGTTAGTGAATCGGAGGATTAGTGCATTGGTTTCATGTTAGATTTATCGTTTAATTTAATTTTGACTGGATTGAGGAAACATAAAATAATTTCTTTTGTCAATGCAATAGTCTAAATTACTCTATTTTAAGGAAAAGGAGACGAAGACGAATTTTATAAAAACACTTCAACTGCCATAACACACATCTGCGACGATAGTCTATTGCTAACACACTCAATTGCTCATTATTATTTGTAATTTGTACGTAGTAATTCATTTGTTAATTTGGTGATTCTTGTGTGTTCGTGTATGCATCGAGATTTATGAAACGCTATAATTCATGTATTTGGACTTTCTTTAATGAATCTTGTCCACAATTGATTAAAAAAAAAATTCAACATTGTGATCGCAAGTTCCCGGTCTAGGTAAACCCCACCACCCTACACAATTACACATTACAAGTGAGAAATTTTTATGTGTATTCAAAATATATACAAAGTTGTAAATCACATCAGGTATTATGTTATAACTAAATGACATAGTTTATATATTTTTCTAATGACTCTTCATTTCTAGTGTACCGTTTTTTGTTCCGAGTATATTAAAAAATATCTCCATTACACGCCTTCTCCATATCACATTGGAATGGATTATGGAACTAGTCGTGTTCAATGGGCTGGTTCTTGACTCCAGCATAGGCGTATACTAATTAAATATTGATATTCACACACTCATTTTATCTCTACTTTTATTAGATTTTGTTTATTAATCTTCTTCAATTCATACGATCGGACGGCCAAAAACAAAGAGATGTGTGTCATGAGTAAAAAGGGTGTGTAGATAGCACTACGCTACTAATTTTGTTTTCCATGTATGTGTGTAGATAGCACTACGCTACTAATTTTGTTTTCCATGTATGTGCAGAATCTCAAGTTGAGCAGAATTTCCATTTTCACTTCTCACACAACCTTATTAACTTTTGTCTATTCATCTTCTTCAATTTATTGACGGTCGGTTATTAAGAGACATGTGTGTGAAGTAAAAAATGAGTATATGAATAGCACCGTTCCACTAATTTTGTTTTCCATGTATATGCAGATTCTCAAGTTGAGCAGAATTTTCCATTAAAAATGGTGAAAAAAATTGACGACCACATGAAGAAATAATATGTAACTTATGGTACTGGATATACCTAAGCCAGTAAATGAAAACAACTCTACTTTGGAAACTATGCGAGTTATTGTTTGAACAACGAAACTACTTTAGTCTGAATCATGCTCATACTTTCTTCCTTACCTCTTCTTTGATAATTTCTCAATAGATTTTTAATCAAAATGGTCATTGAGATTGGCATAACTTTTCACTTTGATTCATGAGATTTAAAATCGATATAAGTGGTCCTTGAGTTTGTTCACCGTCAACTATTTTGGTCATTTTGTGAAAAATCTCTATTAAATAATGGAAAATGACAAAAATATCCTCATTTTTTGTCAAAACATTTTGGCTCATTATTTATTAAAATTAAGGATATTTTTGTCATTTTGGTTCTTACTCAACGGAGATTTTTTCCGGAATAACCAAAATGATTGACGATGGACAAACTCGGGGGCTACTTTCTTAAATCAAATTGTATCGCATTTGAAGGAGTTTGTTGCAATATATGCACAATTGGTTTTTTTTTTTTTTTTTTTTTTTTTTTTATCACCACCAATACTAGGACATATCTACAACTGCGAGCTGGAATAACTTACATGTGACAACTAATAGCTGTTATAAATTTATGTAGGAATTTACATATTGCGCAATTACGAGAATTGCTGGCAACAAAACTCAAACCCTAATGTAATGACACACAAGACAAAATCTTTCTAACTGAGCTAACCCTCGTTGATAGAACTCTTTGCTTTTGTTGCCTCATTGAATTCAATTTTTTTTCTATATAATCTTGTGGACACATTTGTGGTGTTTTTGGAATCTTGTTGTCAAATTTGTTAAAAAGCGATTTTTGCACACCATTTTTTCTTTTTACAAATCGTTTTGTTTGTGGTACTGATACACCGCTATGTGAAATAAATAAGAGAGAAAAAGGAATGAAAAGATATAGGCCACATGGGGTTTCTTTGTGGTGCACCATTTTTCTTTGGGAACTTTAACGAAAAAATATCGATATTGTTTATTTTAACGAAAAATCATATTTTTACATTAAAAAGTCAATACTGGTACTATTTAATTTTATTATTTTTGTTAAAACTCAAAACTTTCAAATCATTTTCATTATTTTTCTTTTTCTGCAAATCGTTTTCTTTTTCCCCAAACACTGTAGAACTTGTTCCGGGTTCCGCTCCTCCGTCAGTCGTCAGCGAGTAGGGAGAGAAAAAGAGAAAGTCAAACACCCCATTTGGTCTTCATCT